TCAGTTCCTGGGTGTGGACCTACACCATTCATTGGCGGCCATGCTGTGGCAGTAACCCACATACAAAACAGAGGAAGACTGGCACAGATGTTAGCTCAGGACTAATCTCCTCAGGTAAAAAAGAGGAAGGTTGGCAATAGATGTTAGCTCAGGATGAATCTTCCTCAACAAAAAAAAAAGGGGGCGGGCGGAGGGAGCCAATGGACCCTGACAGTATACTGAGCTTTAAAGCATGCAGCCAATTAAGCGATTTTAACTTTGATTAAGTAGATTAGTATAGGGTCTGAAATTTTGTAAATTAAAAAAAAAAATCTCCAGGGTTTTTTTTTTGATATGTCAGGTTTGGTTCTCATGCACTAGCAGCATCAGCACTACCTAAAAACTTATTAGAAATGCAAATTCTTGGACTCCATCCCATACCTACTGAATCAGAAACTCTAGACCAGGTGAAAATGAGTTTTAACAAGTCTTCCAGGTGATTCTGATGCCAGGTAAAGTTTGACCTCATTAGCATAAGAAACATCTCTCCAGACCACCAAAGTTGGGCTAAGCAGTATTACACCAACAATTACCAACTAACTTCTTGAGATTTAGAGGTCCCAATGTGTGATTCTCATTACTGCATTTATGTGTTAACAGAAGATCTGTAATGATTTTATGACTAATAATTTAGCTGCATAACAACAATTCCTGCCACTAACCCATAGTGTTTCTGCCTTGGTATGCACCTAAACTATCTCATGGCATAAAAATTCTAATATACACTGTCCTATGTTTTGGTTTAGAGGGAAATAATTTATATTGACGGATGCAGGATACTTGGGAATGTTAGGTGTAATTACACATGTAAAAGATTAGCTTCTGGTATACTACAAAAGTTCAATAGTATTATTATTAATTGTTGAACATGTTATTTACACTTTTCTAAACTGAATTTTGTGCTTTTCCTTAAACAAGGTTTTTCTCATTGAGAGTTGCAATAAAAAAGATTAAAAAAAAAAGAAACATAATTCCAAAACCCAGATACACTAACATTTTGGTTGTATCCTTTCAGTCATTTTGGGATTTTGTTTTTCTCTTCTTTTGGCCTTAGTCATTGTTCTTTTACTCATATGAATAAGCAATATACACAATTTTACAAAGACTGTGCTACAGAACAGGGTAATATTTGTGAATTTTTAAATGAAATACTTGAGTGACCTCACCCAGTTGCAGATAGCATTGTATCATTTCCTTAATAGACTGTGGGCTCAAATTACAATGTTCATATGTTCATTAGAAAGTTCAAGTTCAGGGTTTCAACCATTTTTTCACTAACATTAGAAACTGAGTGAGTTGTTCTCAACTTGCACCTTTCTAAGAGAACAGTTCACTTACCAACACACCCTTTGTCTTGGAAATTTCTACCAGGTTTCTAACATTCTACATCATGAAATTATGATGGTAGAAAGTCCCATTGATCACTCTGCAGTAGTAAAGAAATAATTGATGACTCTTCAAATGAGCTGGCTTCAACTCTGATTGAACTCAATATATGTCAGTCATCTCTTCTCTGTAGATGTGCAGAAGCCTGGAAACATCTCAATCATAAAACAGGAACTAAATGGGAAGCCCAAAAACGAAAAAAGCCCTTGACACTGCAAGACGCTGGCAATCAGGTCCTAGCCAAAAGAGGGACTTAACGTTAACTGTTTACTAATAGATGTCAAGGAATGACAGGCAACAAAGAGCAAGTTCAAAAGCTTTTTAGACACTGAAGGAACCCCATAAAGGCTCATTACATTTTCTGTATTGCACTGACTATTTACAACATTTATATAAAAGTACTGCCCTACATTAAATTTGATAACAATACTCTTAAATTAAGTATTTTCTGCTAAAGGCAATTTCTTCTTATGTATTTACTGCAGGTTTGCCTCAAATAAACGGTCATTTTATGATACCGTATATTAAGATTAGAGGAAAAAATGCAAAAATTGGAAATAGGACCGTGTGAAATGTGATAAAACTCAGAAAAATGTGACACATGCAAAAGCCAATGTGCAAAATGAAAGAACTTAATGTTGTACATGATTAGTGTATAATCAATTTGGCCTGAGAATAACCTTATGGAGGAATAACTAGAATGTGCTTTTAACTAAATAATTTCCCTGTAAAATAGGCTTACAGTAGCGGATGGTTTGCAGGACAATTATGAAATAAAAGCCCTAAGAACTCTGCAGTGTGACTTCAATGCCACCCAGGGGAGATCAGTGGAGATGAATTCCAAAACCAGCTGATATTATCAATCACACTTTCCTGGCTGGACTACCTCATTAGTAAAGATGAAGACTATGATAGTCTAATCTTATTAGCCATTAGGATCAATTAACCTCCCAAATGCACTAATACTATGCTCATCATGAACCCTTTTCTTTTTTAAACCATAAACAGGGCTTCCCATGAAGATTTCTTTCAGAATCACAAAATGACAAGAGAATGGAAGTGTCTCAGCTCCTTTGGAAGTTAGGTTTCTTAACAGGCATTTGGGTTTATATATTATTTCTTGTTAGTCCACTCTCAAGAACTTTACCCTTGAATAAATTTTTAAAAAAATGAGATTCTGAGGCATCAGCCCCACGGCCTAGTGGTTAAGTTTAGTGCACTCTGCTTTGGCAGCCCAGGTTCAGTTCCTGGCCACAGACCTACACCACATGCCGGCAGCCATGCTGTGGTGGTGACCCACATACAAAATAGAGGAAGACTGGCAGAGACGTTAGCTCAGGGCAAATCTTCCTCAGGAAGAAAAAAGAGATTCTGGGCCTGCAAAAGTATTTCTCAAACTGTGGTGCAACAGAATCACCTGCAAGATTCTTGAGACCCACTCTGGGCTAAAAATCTAGAGGTGCTTTCTAAAACAAAATCTAGTTGATTCTTACACAAACCAAAATGAAAATCACTGCTATAATCTGCTCCTACTGAATTATGTCAACCTTGGACTAGGATTAAACTGCAATAAAAAAATTTGCAGTGTGCAATCCATCTAGAAAGAGAATTCTTTCATGATAGAGTAGTTACTGTGCTCACGTTGTTTCTAAAAACCAACCTAATTTCAAAGAATTGAGGCAGTTTGCAATAAAATTGAAACATGAATCATTGAAATATAGAGATAATAACATGTACATACAATAATTATCATGCCAAAAAACAAAAAGTAATATATAAGACAGTCAAACATTACATTTAGCTATGAGGTTCCTAGTAAACAAGGCAAAATAAATACAATGAAACACAACAAAATCATTACCACTGATAAAAGGCTGCATTCCTCTTTTTCTGTATATAATGGATGACTTCAACAGCAGTTTTTATTAAAGACTCTGGATTGTTTCTTCATGTGAAAACTTTTATATTAATTGTAAAAAGGTAAGGACATAATTTCAGAGCAATCTTTCTTGATATTTAAGTTAATCAAATCAGGGCTGAGTTGGAGGCAAGTCAAGGTTTGAGAGAACAACTAATAGGCCTGTCTTTTCAACCATCAGCCTTTTTAACCAGAGGCTGGGAGTCAATTCAAAACATTATTTGGGAAAGAGATTTACTTGTATTTTTCTCCCAAACAGGAGAGAATACCAGCTTAGAACAGTGAAGGGCAAGTGTTACCTCAGTCACCTCAACCTTATAACAGTTTAATCATCTCAATCACTGATTCTCTGAAATAGATTTTGAAGAACCTTATTCTCTTGCTAGAGAAGAGTATTCTCTATCACATGTTATAATGTATATTTGCTATAAACATAACTATGCTTACTTTAAAATTAATCCTCAGGAAAATGAATTCGTCCATTAGGTGATGTTGAATATATTCTCCATTTGACCAGTGGAACACTGGATCAAAATAAGGATCTTTGTTTTGCCATACTAATGTTTACAGTGTTTTTTTGCCATAAAGACACAGTAGTTTCTCCTAACTCCTGAGATTGTTCCTGAATCTTGAAAGTGAATTCACGTCACGAGCAAAGACTTAACGATCTTCCCATTTGCTGTTACTGTAGTATCTACGAAGCACACCTAAAAGCAATACCAAACTATTTACCTGGCAGTGGAAAAGAAAGCAGGGCAATGACAAAGCCCTATTATATTCCTTTTGATATTGAACAAGCCATTCCTGCAGATGACAGATGCCACTCACTCTTTTCATAAATGTGAAATCTTGCCAACTTTTAAATAGCAAGTTAGAATTCATGCCTTGTTCATAAGACTGTTTCCACGGCATTAAGAGTTGACAGATCAACAAATGCAATGAAAAACTTCATAATCTTGGCTGTTTTTTAGAGATGAAACAGTATAACTACATACACTGATAGAATGAGTAACTAAAAAGTATATGTTTTCTCGTGCAAGAAGTTGATAAGAGCGTAGACAAGTTTTCAAGGGATATCTAGCAAACTAATTTGTCTGCGATTTGAAGATAAAGGTTTCCCGTTGTGCAAAATCAGTTAGACTAAACTTTGTATCATCATGACGGCATTAGCCTTGAAGAGGTAGAATGTGTAGTTTAGCTAAGACTGGGGGAAGGGTGACATGCTGGATAGGATCTCAAACTTTTTTCCCCCAATTTAGAAGGATCAATCAAATAAATTATAGCAAACAGAAGTAAAAAATGCCGGACAGGTAAAGTTCTGAACTGTTCAAATCATTTTAGCAGAGAGAAATAAATAAGATAAATAACCCTTGAATTTTTTACTAGAAACTTATAAACTATAGCATTTTACAGGCATTCTATAGAAGTCTGACTTTTTCCTAGTCATCAGTATACCCACCCACACCTGCCATACATAAATAAAACAAAATCTAATAAAATTTACCAAGCACAGATATAAATGAAAAAGATCCAGACGGAATCAAATACACAAGGGAATATACTAAGTATTATATCCAAAATTTTGTAGAGTTTAAACATGATTTGGAAAAAAAAAAAGTGAGCTCAAAACCAAATCCAGTGACAATTAAATCCATACCTAAAAGCCCAGTGTCTACATCAGCTTCTTTCTTCAAATTCTCAGCATGCAATTCTGTAAATACAAACAGGTGCTTGGGTAAAAAAGATGATTTTATAATTTGAAGAGTAGCTAAAAGGCTGGGAAAACATTGTAGAGTTGTACAAAGTGCTGTGGAGTCAGCAGCAACTGGGTTCAAATTCTAATTCCATTTACTAGCTATGTGACCTTCACTAAGTAAACAAGCTGTCTATATGAGTCAACTGCCATATATATAAAATGACAATTTTTTCCCCTAAGGTTGTTGTGTGAAGGCATTTTCTGTAATGCAAATTACAGGACATACTAGGTTTTGAGTTCAATTGCTTTCTTCATTCTCCAAAACAAGCAGGAATCCATGTCTTCTGCAATGGACTGCCACTTAACAGGTTTGGTGACTTTATGATACAAGGTAATCTGTCAGAGCAAAAGAGAACCTACCTACAAGACAAAACGCTCTCAGAGTTGCAGTGAAAAAAAAGGGGAGGGAACTGACAGAGAGGAATGAAACACTGGCACCCAAATATTTAACAGTGACAATTTACGACCAATGCCATTTTATGAAGAGGTAAACTTGCACATTAACTTGGCAATCTGACTCCTGTATGAAAAGCAGCATGGTAAGCTGTTAAAAGCCTTCTGCAGCCCACTAAGAGCTTGGAAGCAATGAGGAAAAATAAAAACTGGAGTTAAACAGATTTAATTCTATTTAGTGAAGTGAAAGTAATACTTGAGCGGCAATGTTTTGGGGGCTCTTCATACAACAAACTAAGGTAGTTCTTTTCGTTTGAATTTTTTTCAGTAATTTGGCCAAGGTCACACACGAGTGAGAAATGAGATTTAAACTCAGATCTGATTCTTTCTATTGTAATATAAAATATTCAACCATATAATACTTCCGTATAAACTTTAGACAGCCTTTCAAGGCACATCTCTTTTAATTCCAATCTAGCTGATGTTTGAACCTCAGACACAGGAATATAAAACTATTAATCAGAGAAAGAACAGAGTGTGGCTCCTGCACTAGAGCTTTACCACTACACTAGGTTGCAAACCCCATACAAAACAGAGAGGCGCTAAATATTTTATCTATAAAAGTTGAAATTTGGGCTGTGAGATGGAACTTTGTCCTCCAGGAATTCTGTGAATGTACAGAGGAATCAGAGGATAGCACATCTTTAACCATTTGTGGATTAAAATCTTTGAACATGTATAGCCTATTTTAATTGAACACACACTTTTCACCCTCTTCTTTTAATGATGTTTTTTCTGCATTTTGCCAATATTTCACCCCAAGTGTTCGCTGACACTGATACTATTTCTTTAGGAGTACCCATTTAATCAAGACCCTTTCTTAAAAGAGGTCTTCTGATGATGGACCAGGGCCTTGGACCTTTAATACGAGAGAAGACAAAAGGGCAAGAACAAATAAAGGTGCAGATGAAGACTCGTAGGTGAAAGCGGCTACCATCTTGCCGGCCTTTGACGGGGAGGGGGGTGATGAAGGCACGAGCCACGTCCAGGCTCAACTTTACTAACCTATTCAGACTTTCATGGCCGTAGCTACAGTACCTTTCACGATCAGGTAGGCGATGGCCAGGAGGAAGGCGAGGAGGATGGCGAACAGCAGCGAACACAGAATCGAGAGGACCTGAACCGGCCACCGCCGAGCCCGGGCCCGGCCGCCTGCCTCCGCTGCGAAGATGCCATTGCGCTTATCGGGCAGGACCGGAGACCCGTCCCCGTCCCGAGGGAGCAGCGAGCCCTTTCTGGGCTCCGACGACGCCCCAGCCGAGAACTCCGCCCGCAGGTCGCGGGCCACTTGGTCACATCCCTCCTCCTCGTCGACCTCACCCTCTCCCCAACCGCCCCCCTGAGTGAAGGCGGGAAATGCCGGCCGAGCGAGCGGGACAGGGGTGCCCAGCCGGCGGCGCAGGGGAACCGAGCACCTCCCGCTCTCCGAGAACGACATGGCGGGAAAGACGGCCAGGCCCGCGGAGGTCGAGCGTCTCCCACCTGCCCCGCCCCGCGCCCGCTGCAGCCAATCAGCGGCCGGGGCCCCCCACGGCCTCCACCAACCGGCCCTGGCGCGCAGGGGTGCGCAGGGATGCGCGGTGGGGCGGAGAAGGTGCCCTGGGGTCCGAAGGGAGACTGGGCGACCCTGGACCAGGGCACAACCCTCGGGCAGTAGGAGGGAGTGGGGGCAGGAAAGGGAGCAAGGAGAGGCGAGCCGAGGCCAAAGGTAGCCGAGTCTCCTCTCCCTTCAGTGCTTCGTCCTGGCCAAAGACCTCCGCCACCGCCGCGTCACCTCCAAGCAAGCGCGCGCCCCAGCCGCCCCAAAGCCGCATCTTCCCGACGCCCGGTCCTAGTGCCTGCCCCTGCACCTGTGATTCACATTCCCCAACCTATTGCTTTCTCCCTTCTTCCCCGCTACGCTCGCACTCTTCTCCAGCTTCCTTCCTTAACGGCAGTTCACCGCCTGCTGCTCTCGCCTCGCCTTAACTGCCTACCCTCTCTCCCCTTCGCCTCGTCCTCCCCACCCCTACCACAACTTCCTCCACGCTGCTCGACACGCCTCCTGCCCCCTCCGCCCCGGCGCGCGCTCTCCAGCTGGTGCGTACGGAGCCTAACAGCCCCTCCTCTCGCCCTCCCCGCCCCCTCCCCTCCGCCTCGAGCACCGCACGCGCGCATCTGGCCCCCGCCACCGCTAACGCTAGAAGCTGCTTACCCAGCCCCGCCCCGCCCTACCCTACCCCTGGCGGCCTCAGGTTTGTGGGGCGTACGTAGCTCGGGCGGGGGGGTGAAGGTGGCAGGCCCCCACGGCCCCACCCCCTACGGGGTGAGGCGGTCTAAGCTCGGGAAGCTGGGACACGGCTGTCTTCCCTTCCCCGGGGGAAGTTGGTGGAGTTTTCCCGGCAGAGGACACGGCGCAGAAACTTCCTCCGTCCCCCTCCCCCCCCTCCATGCAGGCGACGCCGAGCGAGGCTGAGGCTGGCGGCGAATCGCCGCAGAGCTGCGAGTCGGCAGCGCCCTCTGATTGGACAGCGGGGAAGCCTGTCAGCTTATTGGCCCCGTTGGTCCCGCCCCGTAGCGCAGGGCAGCCTTTAACCTTTGGCCCCAGCGGGCGCCAGCCACTCAGATCGCTTCTTGTTGGTATGTGTAGCGGCAGTGGCCGCCGGCGGAGCAGTCTGAGCCCGACGATGAGGCCGGGGACGGGAGCCGAGCGTGGAGGCCTCATGGTGAGTGAAATGGAGAGCCATCCTCCCTCGCAGGGTCCCGGGGACGGGGAGCGGAGACTGTCCGGCTCAAGCCTCTGCTCCAGCTCTTGGGTCTCTGCTGACGGCTTCCTGAGGAGACGGCCCTCGGTAAGGGATCGGTGGGGCAGGGGGAAAGCGGCACAATGAAAAACGGAGTCAGAGAGACAGGAAGCTTTCTCCAAAAGGAGAAGAAGATAAGAGTGGACGAAGGAAGAGCTCGAGATGGTGGGATATGTTCCGAGGGAGAGAAATGGAGGGCGGGGATGCACAAAGGGAAGGATGTGGAACCCTGGAAGTTCCCGGCTGGCTTGGCCTAGACCGATGCGCGGTGTAGGTGCTGAGCTCTTGGGCGGGGTGAACGTCTTGGAGATGTAGGCCCGATTTAACTGGGAGGGGGAGGCGGAGGCTCGATTCTGCAGACTTTAAAAGAGGCTGCTAGAATCTCTCTTCACCAGTAGTAGTGGTATCTGCGGGGGGGGGACAGCCGGGAGAATTGGCAGGAGATAATACCTGGTTTTAAGACCTGGAACAATGGACACAGTAGTAAAGAAAGTAGTTTTCTTATAAAAGCGCATTAAAATGGATGAATTAGGTTGTTTGCATTTGGTGTCTTTGAATGACAGACTTCACTCTTTGGAAAAAAAAACTGTGGCAGAAATAATTTTACCTGTGTTAGCGATTCTATGAGGACGTTATATGTTGGTTTGTTAGGAGTGAAGTGTCCCTGGGTGCCCGTACGGTTTGTGTTTTATAATACCAACCCTCGTCTGACTTGATTTGGTAAATTAAGTGTTAAAGCTTAAAAAAAGTTTAGAAATAAGTTTAATAATGCGTATCGTTATAAAATAATAGCTAGCTCTCTTTATGTCTGTGTGAAATAGGAAAAAGTTGCGGTTTTCACCGTAACAGTTTTTAAATTGGCTTTCACATACATTTCCTCCGAGCTTTGCAAGCCAGTGTGCTTTTTAAAAAAAGCTATCATCTAGCTGTCCACTAATGCTTTTAGTTTTTTCTTTGTTGTTCTGTAATTTGGTCAGTTGCAAGCCCATTCTAATTACTGGTGTAGTGCAGTTTATTTAAGATGAGAAAGTATAAGCTAACCCAATAGTTTGAATCACACAGCCTAATGTTAGGACACTGCATGTAACTGATTTACTGAAATCAGATTTTTGAGAAGCGTTTATTGTTACTTGCTAATTTTTAAATTGTCCCTGTTTTTCAGATGGGGCACCCTGGCATGCATTATGCCCCAATGGGAATGCACCCTATGGGTCAGAGAGCAAATATGCCTCCTGTACCTCATGGAATGATGCCGCAAATGATGCCCCCTATGGGAGGGCCTCCAATGGGACAAGTAAGAATGTTTTCATTGTATTTTGTGTTTGTTTGTTTGTTTATTTTTGCTTGTGGTATTATTGTGTCAAGATTTCAAAATCTGTCTCAATATTTGCAGCTGTTTAAGGATTAGTTTATGCCAAAATAATGTTTTCAAGTAAGTCAAATGTTGAATCGTGATGCTAACCAAAATTTGAATGTAATGAAAAGCCTTCTGTATAAAAGATTTACTTTCTACCACAAAAAATCAAAGAGGTTTTTTTTTTTCTTTAAGTAGTGGTGTACATCTAGGCTTTTTAGTTTAATGACATTTTTCCCCAGGTATGTCAATTGAAGTTAGTGTCCTAAGAGTAAATATCTGATAGGCCAACATAATTTGTGTCAGTGGACCATGTAAATGGATAGAATTCGAAAATAGCAATTGTTTAGGCCTTTGGCTTAGAATGAATTTTATTCCTGAGATAGCTTCCTCTTGTGTGTGTGTGTGTGTGTGGTGGGGGTGGAGGTGGGGAGGTTCTATTCTAATTTGATTCTTCATAGGACAGTGCCAAATAGGTAGTTCATTTTCCACTTACACTATTTTGCTTGTTTTTTTAAATGCTTATTGCTTTTGCACTCCTGCTTTTGAGCTGTCCCTACCTTCTCCAGCACAAATTGTAAACACATTTTGTGGGAGTGATTTGCATCAAAAGGTTTCAGTGCTGACTCAGTGAATTCAGTATAACTGAGTTCCTGGAGAAGCATCCAAGAAAGGTAACAGGTTCACTTACCGTGAGTAATTTTATATCCCCTGTTAGGGTCTATAATAAAAATATTCTTTGGTGGCTGGGTTCTTTCCATTTGAGTATCTCAATAAATCTTCAAAAATTTAGGCTAACAAAATATTTTGGAAAGCCAGTCAATTAGGTATGATCTTTCTGCTAATTAATACTGTTTGATAATTGTTTAAACCTTGATCGTTTAAGTTATTGGTGAAATTGTAGTGGAGAAAGGAGCTTGCTCTGTGTCTCTCTCTTTTTACTTAACCTTAAGAGTGGAAGGGCTTAATGTCAAGTGATTTTCTTCTTTGGAATATAGCCCTTAATTCTGTGTAAAAACCATTATTCGAAGGCACCGGGCCCAAAAGATTCTGCCTGTAGGAGTTCTTTAAATAAAAGAACCATTTATTCTGTTACTCTAGAATGACACAAGTTTTACAACTCCCTAGGTGATAGAGAAACAACTTTGATTCCTCTTCTGTTTCTTTCCATCTCTAAGCAGCAAGGAGCTCTTCTTGTTTTCTTAGTAGAGCTGCTCTAAGTAGATAATGAGCTTTAAAAATATTTATTCTTTAAATGCTCTGGTTCTTATTTAAAATTAGTTTCTTTCCACAGAAAGATAAAATAAAACAATTTGCTACTGCCAGATGCTTCTCTCTTTTCTGGGGCCTTCTGTTTCCATTGGGCCAATCAAGGTAAGTTTTGCAAGGGATTGACCTGCTTACCCTTGCTGTAATGGTGCTATTGCACTACCAAAACCAAGATACCAGCTAGTCATTTCTAGTAAAATGCAGATTTCATTTTTTTTTTGTAAGTACTTTCATGTATCTCCTTGACATAAGCCGGTCACAATTTGCTTTATGGCCCTTTCTCTTTAACTGTATCAGTGACCATCTTTCTAGTAAGGTTACTTGCTACCTGATACATCCATTCAGATACTCAGAATTTTATCTTGTGGTTTTATTCTGCTTCTTTTCCTAGGCCAGTATATACCATGTGCCTTTAAGTGTACCTGACTTTTAGATGTTTAGAAGTCTGTCTCTCCCTTTTGGCTCCTGTTAGGATAATAAACGAATGTCTTGGGAGTTCAGCTATGGGGGTCCCAAGAGAATCCTCATTGTTTTTCCTTAAAATTAGATTATTCCTTTTTTTCCCCTTTCAACATCCAGCTAACAAATAGGAGGCCTAAACTTGGTAAAACTAATTCTTGTTTTAGCTTTGATAACAGACTGGGAGGGGATGGATAATTTGAATACTCAATTAATCCAGAAATCTAATTTAAAGTCCTATAAACAACTACCTTAAAAATAAAAGTAGATGATTGGTAAAATTGATCCTTTTTCTGCATCGTTTCTTCTGTCTACCCACTCTCAAGAAGTGTTAGTGAGCAGTAAGTGGTCAGAAGATAATGAGTAGAAGCAGGGTGCCTATATATAGTTCACTGCAGTGACGCAAAGTTGGTAGGATTCTACCATCCAATTTTAAAAAGTTAAAACTTCTTTTGACTTTGGGACTGAAAGTTAATGGAACCTTCATGTATGGTGCCTAGTTCACATTAAAATCTCATTCTGAGACCCAACTGAGGACTAAAATCGGTGGGCGTCTTACTTGCTAAATGATTGTGGTTTTTGGAATGTTACTGAACGTGATGAAATTCTAAAACTTGTTGGTAAAATAATAAGCAAGCTGGACAGAAGAACAATCTACTGAAGCCAGAGTTCATGATTTTTCAAATGTAGCAAGTTATTTAGACTAAAGAAGTAGTGTGTTTGTTTTTACTTTATTTTTAGTTAATGAGATAACCTAGAATGCCCTTTTTAGAATTCAGGCTGAATCTATTGGTAGTAATAAATATTTGGAAATTATCAAATGGAGCTTAATTTTTTTTCGTGTTTATTTCAGTTATCTGTTAGGTTAAATTTGCCTCTTTCTTAGTGTATAGTAACTTCATCTGGGAAAGTTGTGCTTCTGCTTTTACAGAATTATAGGATCTTAGAGCTGGAAGAGACCTTAAAAGATGTTAAAACTTTAAATAATATGTGAGTTAAGTAATGGTTTATCACTGGTTAAAAACTGTGTTAATAAAGTAATTTTCCTGCTTGATCGCAATACTCAAGAATTTCTAGTAGAGATTTGCATTAAGATGCAATTACGTGTGAGGCCTCTTCTTCCTCCATATCTGTAGTGAGTAATGTTTTGCCATTAAAATGTTTTCACGTCTTATTCTTTTGTTATCCTTTCTACACAAAGGACTTGCAAGTCCTGCTGTCTTTATCACAGATGATTTTGCCTTTACTTAAGCCCAAGAGAGTCCTCCTGGCTTGCTCTTTTTTCTTTTTTTTTTTTTAATCAGTTTTTCTCTTCTTTTAATGAGAAGAGTAGAGTAAAAGACTTAAGGTCCCTTTCAGCTCTAACAGCCTATGATTCAATTCAGCTCATTTTTTAAGAAGAGTAGGTGATGTGGTATGAGATTTTATGGGTTGATATGGAGACATAGAAAAAGAAAATTCTTGTAGTAATGCCTCCCTAATTCTAATTATTCAGTACTTTTTTTTCTTTGTTCAATAAACTGATAAATGAGTAATTGCTATTTAAAAGGAGTTTAATGTTCTTGTTCTTATATTGAGTAAGGCAGGCTTTAAGTGACATTTTATTTCTATTCCTGCTGCTGTCTGAGCCCAAGTCGTCACACTCCCATGCCTAGGATACTCTTAACAACTTTTGAGCTGGTTTTCTTGCTTCAAGCTTGCCCCTCCCAAAATTCTCATAGGTTTCAGCATTCTATCTCTTTGCCCAAGAACCTCCAGTGTTTTTCTGTGCCTGTGGCATAATGTCTAAATTCCACAGCATAACTTTGAAGGATTTCCCATAGCAAAATTCAAAGCACAATTCTGAGCTGCATGTCTTCACATTCCCTAATTTGAAGACAGGGTGGTCTTTTCATGGTATCTTGAGTGATTGTATTAGTTCATGACCCAGCTTATGCTGTTCTTGCCTTCCTGCCCCCAGCTCACTACCGCCTTGAACTTTCCTTTGCTTACCTAAGTTCTACTGTTTCAAGTTCTGCCCTCTCCAGGAAGTCCTCAGCAATAACTTTGCCCAGCATACACCTTCCCTTCAAATTATTAAAATAAAATCCTGTAACCTGCCCATGACTCTTACCATTTCACTTATTTTGGCACTTACTGACTTGTTTTGTTTTATGGTTTATTTGCTTTGTCTTCCCTACATGTAATAGATTGTAAGCTCTTAGAGGGCAGGGGCTATATTCTATACTTTTAAAGAAGTCTTTAGGTGCTGAGCACAGTTCTTGGCACATCATGGGTGCTCAGTAAAATACTTGTTGAATGAATGAAAGAAACACAGATATTCTTCCCTATAATAAAGGCAGGAAGTCAGTCGATGCTACATGTGACTGTTTTCAGAGATTACTTGTGACTTTACGTTGTTACTACTTACATTTGTTTTTAGTGTCTGCCTCTTTACTGTTGCTTTTTCATTTGACAAAAATGGAAGATAAGTAAGATGAATAAGTAATTTTTATTTTGTGAATAAAACAAATACTATTTTCCATTTATTTTAAATATTTTCCCTAGGGAAAATCATGATTTGGAATATAGATCTTCCAGAGAAATCCAGAGTGTTGGTATCTTAGATTTATCTGACTGATTTGACAAATTGATTGGTTGCTATTGCTTTTGAATACCCTTTCAGGTATTTACAGAATCCATCCCAGTGTAGTGGACATTGGGCAATGACAAAAACAGACTTTTTTTTACGTTATCTGCACATAATTCTTGAATCTAGGTAATTTTCTGTATGCATTTACATTACCCAGGCAAGAACTTTTTTAAAAATAGATTGACTCAGACCTAATATGTTTGAATAACTTTTGGGCTATGTATATAGTTAAATTTTGATTGGTTTTACTAATGATACTGTAAGTTTATTTTCATTATCTGAAGATAGCATCATCTTTTCAAAACTCATCTGTTCAAAAACTTTAGCTAGAGTGGTGCTTTTAAGTATGAGTAGTATTTGGAGAGATCTAAGACAACCATGTAAGTTTGGAGGAATGAACTGTACTTCTCCCCCCACTCCCCTTTGACATTCACAGGGCAGAATATTTATAAAGATTCTGAGAAGTCTTGCAGAAGCCTTTTAAAACTGTTTTTACTCAGTATTTCTTGGTTTTGTTTGACCATCTTTCCCGGTCTCCCTTACCCACTGTTATCTGTTTATTTTTGCTTTGTCTAGCACATTGCATGGAATAACATTGCACAGAATTAGCATTTTGTGAGAAATGCTGGATTGGGTCCCCTTATCGATTTAGTCTGCTCTTTAGGGGAAAGAGAACATTGAAATGAGTTAGTACACACAGGTTAAGCTGTTTTTGTTTTTTGTTTTTTGTTTTTTGTTTTTGAGGAAGATTAGCCCTGAGCTAACTGCTGCCAATCCTCCTCTTTTTGCTGAGGAAGACTGGCCCTGAGCTAGCATCCGTGCCCATCTTCCTCTACTTTATATGTGGGACACCTGCCACAGCATGGCTTGCCAAGCAGTGCCATGTCTGCACCCGGGATCTGAACCGGTGAACCCTGGGCCACCGAAGCTGAATGTGCGCACTTAACCACTGTGCCACCGGGCCGGCCCTATAACCTGTTGATTTTTAATTAGGTTTCTTAGAAATGTTCATGACGTGACTTCCAGTCATCATGAGTGGTATATCAGTAGATAGTAAAGAATTGGTACCTATGTATGTGTCATAGCTCTGTACTATAGTTTCTAGTTTATTTTTTACATAAATAAATAACAAGTCTAAGTTGTGAAGGTTTATAAGTAAGGGTGAGTAGATTACTGTCTCCTGTAGAAGTTATTGTTAGTCCTTCATTCTTATATCTTTTTTCCATACCTTCATATTTCTTTTAGTCAGTAGACATTTAAGTCTCTTTGCTTTGGTGTGAGTGTAAAAATGGATGATGTATACACCCTGCACTCAAGGAACTTGGAGGCATTCCTCAAATGCTTGGCTAAACTGTTTTGTCATCTTCCAACTGCTCGTGTCATGATACTTCTAGACATTGGAAAATTTAGTGGAGATGAATCTTTTATGTTTGTTTTCTTTCTCTCTCTAGTCAAATAATCATACATTTCTCTTGTTTATTAAAAAAAAAGCTAGTTGTAGTTATCGGTTATTGAAGATGTGATATTTTGCATGATGGACTTGAAAGAAAATCTTCTAACTGCTTTTTCCTTGGTGCACTGCACTCAAAATGGAAATCTGGGTCTTCATATCTGAGTGATGCTGTTAGCCATGTCTCTTAAAGAACTAAACATGCCAGCAAGTAGGATTGTTCTGAGTTGAAATATAGTTTGTTTTATCTTAGACTTTGAGATTTATTTTTTAATTGAGGTCACAGTGGCTTATAACAGTGTGTAAATTTCAGGTCTACATCATTATATTTCATACGTTGGCTTCTGTATAGACTACATCATGTTCGTTTCCATCCATCACCATACATATGTGACCCGTTGTTCACTTTTGCCCTCCTTCTACTCCCTTCCCCTCTGGTAACTACCAGTCTGTTCTCGTTATCTATGTGTTTGTTTATCTTACACATATGAGTGAAATCATACAATATTTGTCTTTCTCTATCTGACTTATATTTGCTTAGTGTAATACCCTCAAGGTCAGATC